TTACTATTTACACTATACAAATATAAGTAATTCTTGGTTCGGCGATGTTCTCAGATTATTTGTTCGGATTCAATTATAATTATTACGGTATATATATATAGCAGTCATATATATACAGCAAGTATTATGGCTATTTAATATTGTTTTCATTAACTTAAAAATACAATATCTCTTTATTATTAGTGCGCCGGTAAATAGATGCCATAATTATAAGTTTTTAAGGCCTTAATTGAGCTGTGTTGATTTAAGGTTAAATTTTGACAATATTTATAACCCAATGCAATTTTAAAGTACCAAATTTCTACAGGGCATTATTATATTAGCAGTAGTTAACTTAGTTTTTAAATAAAATTTCTAAAAAAAATGATAAGCTAGTATCAAGCGTATAGTTGAAAAGTTTACATAAAATAAAAATATACCAGTTCACAATTAATTTCTATTTTCAAATGCAATTTTGAAGTACACCAAGTTGTTGTAGGGCTTTATCATGTTAGTACATATTATAGAGCATTCAATCTTATAAAAAATTGTCAAATACCTTATTAATTTTAAGCAGGCCATTCAAAAGTTACAGATATGATATAATAAATAAATACACAAATCAGTAATCATCCCCAAAATTACCGTACTTTGAATATCACAGCTGTCCAATACAGCTCATTATACAAATTTCTTTTCACAAAGGGTTGTTACTATACCTTTGGCTATAGTTTGAAGGTAAAAACAAAAGAAAGGCATTATAAATAAAACTAATTATGCGCAGACTGTGTCATTTCAATAATCTCGAGAACCTCTTAACGTTTCGAGCTGCGAACGGAGCACCGTAATCTGTGCAATAACGATCGCCTTTCTTATTAAAAAGCATAGAAAGACGGGAATACTCTAGAATAAGGTCCACATTGGGTAAAGGTCGTATGAGGAATAGTAGCACACATACATGGACATACGGACTTTATACTGTTTGGCATTAATGTTGATCAGAAAACCTCAAGAAGAAATAAAAATAAAAATAAAAAATAGTTTGATATCAAACTAGTTATAATAGTTATTTCACATTAAATCAAATTTATAAATCAAGGCGTGAATCTTAATTTTTGGTTTAAGCTAAAGTATGTACTTTATAATAAGCAACTTCTCTCAATATGTATGTTACTATTTCCAAATCTGTTTCCCCCCGAATCCTTTGCCATCACTGGATTTTCTACGACGTAAGGTAATTACCTTAAACGTTCACGACAGGTAAAACGCTAGAGACGCTAACTAAAACCCAGTGACTACTACTACTACTGCATTAAAATCTCTACCTCTTTTGATTTTAATGCTCAAAAGACTTTATCCAGAAGGTAAAATACAGCTACGGCGTATTTTCTTTGTTTTTGATTGAATTTCGTAAAATTGGTAATAAAATTATGATTTATAAAGTATAAATACACAGGTGTAATAAGTAGTATTCAAAAATTAATTTTAAATTTCATTTCTGAATAGAATGAAATTCTCTTTTATAAGTATGTATAATTTTTGCTCCCTACCCTGAATCGATTTTGAATGTTCAAAAACCCTTAGAAAGGTATTGGTTGGAAATCATGCTGATTAGTTTTTGGTATAGATTGTCTGGGCCGTTTCTTCGTAATTTTCTATTTAAATTTTTTTTCGGTGACTTTCTGAAACTTTTCTTCGCGATAGAAATCTTGGTCTTATAGAACGTACTAAAATATTACAGCTCTACGACAAGTCGTTTAATTTTAAAATTTCATCAAATTTTAGATAAATTGACAGTGTTTTTTGGCGTGAATCAAATTTAGGCATGTCATCGACGTTTTCTCAAAAACAGCTAAACCGATTTTAAAAATTTGATAACCCCTCAATGAAACTTGATAAGCACTCGTTAGTTAGTTTTTTGTTACGATTGGCTGAGCCGTTTCTATAGAATTATCAGAAAAGTGCAACGTTTTTCGTCAACTTTCAGTAAAACATTCTGAATAGATTTTGAAAATTCAAAAACTAGTCTAAAGATATCTTTTGAAAATCGTGCTGATTAGTGTTTGGCAAAAATCGGTCAGGCCATTTTTTCCTAATTGATTATAAAAAACATCTTCGATTTTCATGAAACTTTTATATGACGATATTGTACCTGGTCTCAACAAGCACAATAAAGTATTGTAGTCCTACGAAAAGTAATTTGATTATGAAAATTAATTCTTATTTGGATTATTCGGCTACCTTAAGAAAATACTTAATTAGGTGTATGTATTAGGCATCTGTTTGTTTCTCAATAATGTCTAATAAAAAATTGTACAAAGTTAAATAATTTGCAAAAGTTTATCACATTATGATTCTCACATAATGATGCAACTCGGTATACTTACAAATTACTCATAAATTAATATACTGATTTCTTATTGATTAAGTCGATTTCTTACACTTGTCTTGTTCATGCAACTTGCCACTAGGCAAAATGCCACTTACAACTAGTTGGATTAATATTTACCTGTTATTTCCAATATCATAAGAGGCACTAAAATCGACTAGTGTTTTACCAAATAATAAGATCAATATATTTTAAAGTCATTTAAAAACTTTCTAATAACTTTTATTTTTAAAAAAATAAATCACATATATATTTTATAAAACCACACAAATTGCGTGGGTATGTGTGTGTGAAGCATCATGAATTAATTATTAATACTTCCTCGAATTAAATATGGAGTGTGAACAATAAGAAGAAGTGTGATAAGAAATTATGACTCGATTTCTATTGGCGTCCAATTTTGTCAACTTGTCCTTGCAAGTTGTTGATCACTTCTGATGGGACTTGGTCGCCCAAAATTTCGAACAAGTTGATACGTTGGTTTCCGGGAATCTGCTCATAGGCTGCCAATTCGATGCCTTCTTGAACCTGGAGATAGTAAATAGTTACCACGAAAATCCTTTTAGTCTATGTATCTTGAACGGTGGGAAGTAAAACACCATTGTACTCGTATTTTATCTATTATGTTAAAACTCACGTTTTGTATTTGGGCATCCTTGGGTATCAAGAAAGTGCTTTGTGCCTGTCTGATGGCCTCATTTGAATAAACGGCGCCGTCCTTTTGTTGGGGATAAGCCGCGGCGTACGCCAATGCGCAGAAAAACACGACGAACATGCACTTCATTCTGAAAAAATAAAGAAAATCATTGAAAATATGTTAGTAAATAAACAAATAGATGTTTTATCAATTTATTTTTCAATAAAAATATTTTCATTAATACACCTGTCCTAAAATGGACAACGAATAAAACTGTAGGATTATATAAGACTTTGCAAATACAAAATCCTCTGACCTAATTTTTTTAAGTCGTCTTGAGCTTTTTCAATTTCAATCAAAATTCAGCCAAATACGTTCATTGCCAGAGTGAGATGAAAAATAATATGATTACTATAATATTTTTTACGAAATAGTTTGTGGTATGAAAATGAAAATTTAGGATCACAAGTATTTTTATATACGCATTTTCTTCTGAATTATTAACAAGTTGTACGCTTTATTTTGTCGAATATAATATTTATGCAATTGTATTCAAATAATTATTGTATAATATCGTCTAATATCTTAATAATCTATATCAACTCAGTTCTTGTCTAATAACTTAATTAAACAATATCAAAAATGCGGTTGATAGTCATCAATTATATAATTAAAATAATTATTTATCCGAACGTGTTTGGGTCTGAAGTAGTAATTAATTGTTTAGTTGCATGTTGTTGAATTTATTCGTTTGTTTAAGTTTAGTAAATAAATATGATATAAAAATTATATTGCCATAAATAAAATATTAGTAGCATTAAGGTGACCATATTTTTTTCAAGTCAAAACCGGAACGGTAAGACAGTCAAGGAGTTCATTTTTATAATTGTTGTTAATTGGCGTAAAATTGAAAATAAAAGTTCAAAATTATGAATGTGAGAGGCTAAATTAATCCGACTTTTTCATATAAGCGTACTAGTTATACATAACACTTTCAGATATTTGATGTGTAGTTGTAATTTTAGTATCAAGTAAGAGCGAAGATATTCAATTTAAACCTATACTTTTCGAAATCCGGGACAAATATTGCTTTAAGAAAAACCCGGGACTCAAGGTGTAAATCCGGGACGGTCCCAACTAAATTGAGGCATATGGTCACCTTTTTACTACTCCAAAAATTATTTCGGGTACTGACAGAAATCAAAGTTGTAATATTATCTTTAAATAGTTGAAGATAATTTAATTTTGTAAATTTGTTTTTTTCTAATTTAATTTCTAAATTTGTTGATTTTGTGCGTTACTCTAGGTTGTAAGATACATAGGGGTACCGGTTAGAAACGGGACGTCAAAAAATGTATTAAAATCACTATAGACAATGCAGTATATTCTTAAAATAAATTTCAATATAGTACGACATTAATTAATTTCAAAGCAACTACAAAATTATGATTGAAAATATAAAATTTATCGAATCTGATCAGGTTGGCTTGCAACTCGTTCATGCATTTATTCATAACAGTTCTTGTATGTTCCAAATTATTCGTTCAATATTGATCGAATATATGGCAATTTGGTACAAAAACTAATAATCTTTAATATTTCCCAACATTACTACACTGAACAACTCGGTTTACTTTAAAATCGTTTTTTAAAACAGATATTTAGTTGTTCACTGAGCGGCCAATCTAGATTTAACAAAAGCATTGCGCCAAATAGAGTTGCGCATAGGCTGCAAATAGTGGGGAAAATATTAAAAATCTTAAGATTTATAATATAATTATAATTATTATTGAGTTTCATAATAAGACGTGTAGCAAATATTAAATGTTGAAACATCTTGTCTCGTGTTGATTTTAATAGGATGCAAAATGTCTTAGGGTATCAGTACTCATGATGAATGTGAATTTGCCAATATATATGTATATGTATATATGTATGTGTGTTTGTATATATATATATATATATATATATATATGATTATAATTGTAGTATCATCTCCCACAAGAGAGAGTTTTAGCATCAACTTTCCAATGTGTTCTCATTCGTCTGTTTGCCGCTCTTCACTTTTATGTAATGACGATAATAACTGACGATAACGATTGTGAACTTTACGATACTAACTCTCTAATAACACATCAAACTATATCCGTAATAACTCTGGATAAATATCAGATAGATTGATAATATCTGCAGTACGCAATTGGAGGAAGTAGAAAAAATAGGCAGAGATAAATGATAAATGAATTTTAGGCGAAAATTTATGCATTTATGCAAGTAAATCTAGGAAGGAATTTGTCTGGTTAATAAAATAAATATAGTATTTTTGGTACCTCGACGATACATTTTATTTTTCCTGGTGCATGGTCTCCGAATCGATTATAAATCTGTCTATTCATCCATCTGCTATAGAAATCTCTTTCTTAAAGGAAGACTCATAATAATAACAAGTCGCAAACTTTCACTTTGCTTCGCTAACAATAAATAAGACGTCGTCGTTGTCGTAAAATCTACAACAATAGGTTTCTGAGAGACGACAATGCCTTAGAAACTATTCTTTGAAACGTTATGTGTTAGAAACAGAACTTTAGATTAAATATTTTATCTTATAGGTTATAATATAGCCTTAGACGCAAGTTATATATTGATACGTAATTGTTAACTTACTCGTAGTTATATCAACTATTATATTTTTTATTAATTTCATTACTTAAACCAACACAAAGGGTATTATCCTACTTGTTGATAGTTTTTATTGCAATATTAATTCAATTAAAAAATATAGTAAATTCTTACAAAATTAAATTTCCTATTTTATTTTGTATTCTTTTTTTCTATTTTATTTTGTATGATTATATTACATGTTCCATGGCGTAACGGTTAAGCGCACTGCCTTGTGAGTTCATATCCCCGCTCTGGATAACGTGATATCATGCAGCAGTGATATCAATTCACACTTGAAAATATAGATCAAAAAATATGTTTCCAATTAAAAATAGCCTATTTCGGGCACTGCGGTGCGAAATGCAATGTAAAATCTCTCTAAAAACTATTCTTGTCTGAATCGAGTTGGAGTTTAATTGAGCGGATGGACCTGTCCAAGAGCAGTACTACCGTTATTATTATTATGATTGTATCATAATATAATTTATATTTTAGACTAGCAAATGTAAATTTGATAGTTTAATATTAATAAAATAGTCGACAGATTTTATTGTGATACAGAATGACATGAATGCTATAGCATTCAAATTTTGAAGTCAATTATTTTGAAGTTTCAGCCCAACACCTCATAGGACGTAAAGTTCTGATTGCTGTTAGGATATGAGAATAAAAAAAAACATTGAATTGAATTTTATATATCCTTACGTTTTTGTAATGATTATACTTGACAAGGTAATGACTAAGTGATCCTTTTCCGCATTACTTTATCTTTTCCCTATAAATTAGGTTGGCGTAAAATAGAAGCGAAATACTTGACGTGGATGCTATAGCATTCATCGTATATAACAATTAAAGTATGATTAACTAACTACACTTATTAATTTAAACTGTGTTTGATAAAATTTTAGATATCATAACTAATATAAAAATAAAATGTCATTTTTGTATCCTGCTGGAACTCTTAGTGTTCTCGAACGTGTTAAATTAAAATCACTGTTGAAAATTAGAAATTAATTGCTCGATCTATTGAGGCAATTTTAATTGTGCTTTTCTTGCGTACTTTTTATTGTAACTTTTAATAGTTCTTAGTAACACTCAAATAATTAACAGATTCAATAATAATATCTAATAGCCGAAGGTTTTGCAGCAACTTGGTATACTTTAAAACAAGTAACACAACATCCGTGAATTATCAATTCTTATATTGGTATGCGAGAAAGACATTGTTGGAAAAAGAATATCGTAGAAAGTTATTATGTATTTCCATGTGACTTATTAGCATTCACATCATCACTGAGACGATATTTGTTTTAATAATTCACAATTCACTCTCTCTTCGGACGAAACACGTTTATTTGGATATTATTGAAAAAAAAACTATAAAGAAAAATAGAAATTTCTTCCACGAGTATAAATAAAATTTAGACATTTCAATACCAGTTGTTTCTTTGTATTTATTTAATTAATCAACGACATCTTATTGCTCATTGCAAAATTGCACGATCTTGCTCAATAAAATACTCATCGAGTCTTACGATAGCTCAAGTCGCAATTAATCTTTTTTTCCAATGGAACTTTGACATATAAAATCATATTGCAAAAGTTCAAGCAAACTTAGATATCGTCAGATAAATAAATCTGATAGTCACGTGTAATTAGAGTTACATCAAGGGTCTGCCTTCTAACCTTTTTTTAATTTTTTCAATTTTTCAAAAAAAAAAATTTCAATGCCCAGCTGAGGCAGCTATTTAAATGTAATAATTTTTCATTATTAACTGGAAGAAATGTACTTTCAAAATTAAAAAGAAATTTGAGAAAATAGTCAGTAGTTTTATTTATTTGGCGGACCAAGTAAAAATGTTTTCATATTTTTTATTTATTTATTATTGGTATTACTTGTTTTGTGTATCGATTTTATTAGCGCATTTTATCATCACTTACAATTTGATATGAAAATAAAATCATTTTTGCATTGATTTATTATATCACTTGTCACTTTTAAAAATATGGCTAAAATAGTCGAAGTATTTGTCAAAGTTCAAAATTATATCTTGTCTTATAAATTGTCTTATTTGATGTACTTTAAAATCGCAATTAAAAATATCATAAAAATTTAAATACACGTTGCTGAAATGCATCACTTCAATATGAATTTGATAACTTTTAAATTTGCTCGAATAATATTTTTGATAAAATTTAATTTTTTTTTTCAAAATTAATAATTTTTGTCTATCCAAAACATGAAATAAGAAACCTATTAAATTATAGTACAATATCATATTAAACTCTAGTTCGTTTTATCAATATATCGATTTTAACTTCTAAACTGAATAAAATATTGCGATACAAATAGTGTATTTAGAAAACTTCTTATAAAATCAGAGATCTATAATATTGTGTAATTATAAACACTTTAGCTTAATTTGGTATACCCAGAAAATTAAAATTAATCTGTACAATTTGTTCGAGAAAGCTGCTATTTTTTG